GTGAAAAAACTTGAATCTCTTAATAGAAAAATTGTAAAATAAAATTATCTGCGTAGGACTCGGCTTTAAAAAATTTTATTCCCAGAATAAAAAAATAAAATTATTTTTTATTTTTATATTATTTTATTAAAAATATTTAAATAAATTAATAAAATAAATTTTATTTTTAATGACAGTCGGTCGTGAAAAAACTTGAATCTCTTAATAGAAAAATTGTAAAATAAAATTATCTGCGTAGGACTCGGCTTTAAAAAATTTTATTCCCAGAATAAAAAAAAAAAATTGTCCGATACCCTTTCGCAGCCGAAATCCGCCCTTCTATTCTATCCCTTCTCAGCAGAATTCCTCTCCTCTCTCCAAATACTCCTGTCTCCGTCCATGAAAATTATGTAATAATTTAATCTCAATTGATAATCATTCTTTCAGGAAAGTAGGTTAATCCGAGAATTCCGGAAGGCTTTTGGTGTCGGTGTGATGGCTGCGAGTGCGAATCCGTCTGGGAACAATCAAGAAGGTTCGTCTAACCAGAAGGGCCAGGCTCCTCCGCCCGCCGGAGCTGCGGCTAATGGAATTCCTGTAAATTCGACCAATAACGGGGGCAATAGCGGTGTAGCGGATACGCAGTCTGCGTTGAGGCACAACCCTGGCGTCTCCGTCGACTGGAGCCCCGAGGAGCAGTCACTTCTCGAGGAATTACTCGTCAAGTAACTCTCTTTCCCGTTTTTATCTGTTTGGTTTCGTACTCTCTGTTTCTGGGTGTTCCTCGTTTGGATTGTTAGATTTAAGCGGAAGAATTCACCTTTTTCGGTTTTTTAATTCCTTTTCCAGCTTACTTAGGCTTCCGTTTGGGTGATTCTTTTGTTTCTGTTAGTCCCTTCTGTGAATTTAAGTACTGGTGCTGAGCTTGGGGTTGGAAGTTCAGAAGTGTTGTTTTCTTTTCCTCCCTAGTCAAGTTAGGATTTTTTGGAAGTGAAGCTGGTTATCAATAATTTCAGAGTGGAAATGTCATTTTGGGGATGTCTGCCAGGATGTTAGACTATTCTTATTTATTTGTTCTGAATATACATTGTTCTTTACTTATAATATATGCAATTTCATGTAGTTAGAAGAAGCTCTTTTATTAGTATTGTCATGGAAAAGAAGATAATTTTTAATACTGGATCCATGTTCCCATATATTGGTCAATGTATATATTTACGTGTTAATTGCATATGAAGAACCTAACTTATTTAGGGTTCCCCTGGAATTTGGGACTTCTTCGGATAATTGAACATTTGGCATACTATCACCAATGAATGGTTTGTTTTGTTAACTTGTGTGTTGTGGTTACGTAGTATGTCTTTGTATTGTAGTCCAACTTCTTGAGATGAAGAATGCATTTATTGCATGGGAGAGCATGGGAGTAATGGCTTTCCATGTATTATGGATAGCCATTTAAGTTAAAAAATATAAACTTGCAATTAGTTGCTAGATGGTTGGATAAAGTCATATAGTGCTATTTGAAAGTATCTTTAGTTGCCAAATAGTCTGATAAAGTCATAAAGTGGTATTTGAAAGTATCTTGTATTATAGTAAGATCATTTTAAGTATGATGGCAGGATTGCGTCATTGCGTGAATTGCTATGAGTTGAACCCCCAATAGTTCCTCCTTCAAAGTCAAAGATTTTATTTAATACTGGGTGTCTTCCTGTATATCTTATAAATGCATTTAGTTTTGGTATTATTATGGCGAATGCTCTGTTTTTCATACTGAAGTTGTACTTCAGTTTGAACGTTCTTCAAAGATTTGTTGTATGTTTGGTTCTTTATTGTTCATTGTTCAGCCTTTTGGTTGTTAATACCGTTAGTTTTAACTCTTAAGTAGTGGGTCTAATTGGTTTTTATTTAGACATATTTTTAAACCAACAAGTCAGACATTTCTTTAAGGAAATTAACATTATCAGCAAGGAATCTGGGTTTTACTTTATGAATGTATATGCTGGTTTGCAAATGAACAGCATATGTTTCCCGCAACAAAATAATTTAGATGTTTTGATTGTTCTTTAGATTGTCATTTATTTAGTAGTTGATGCTGAGTTTTCTGTCAAGTTCTTCTCTTACCTTAATTTTTAGTATTATTGATCTATTTGATGGAATGTAATGTCTAGATATTCCTCTGATTCAACAATAGTCCGCTATGCTAAGATCGCAATGGAGTTGCAGGACAAGACAGTACGTGATGTGGCATTGCGTTGTCGATGGATGACTGTAAGTTTTCACCTTTTGACATTGCATATCTTATTGTTGATTTCCAAATTGTAATGTCATTAAAATTGTACTAGCTACGGAGTCATATCTTCTGGAAAACCACAATAGTCTAATGGCTTTAATTAATCTAATCTGTTTCAGAAAAAGGAAAATGGCAAGCGAAGGAAAGAGGACCATAACTCAGCAAGAAAAAATAAAGACCGAAGGGTATCTTCTTCTAAATTCGTCCCCTTGTACTGACATGTTTCTTGTGCTTATTTCATTAGATAATCTTTGGTAGAATTCATGCCTATCCAATAAGTCTCCCTCTGTTGGCTGTCCTAAATGATAAAGTTCCTTCACTATAACAGATTCTTATGTGGACTCCTTAGTCATTAGGGTAAAATTAATAGTTTCTATATTCTCATATGAATTCTACTTTGTTGGTAGCTATGGTCACAGCATGATTTTGACATATTTGACCTAGAAAATTCTTGAAAAAGTAGGAAAAGCAACCACGTGATTGACATATAAAAGTGACTGACATGTTTGTTGAATACATGAAGTGTTGAACAATGTTCTTATTGAAATTCATGGAATCAAGATACCATAAAAAAGTTAAAGAAGATTGGCAAAACATTTATTTTTTTAGATCATTATTACATTAAAGTAAATTACACTATTACAGTAATTTTAAGGGTATCTGCATAGCAAAATCCTAACTATCCTTCATCTTACATGCATTTCTAATTGTGTATCTGAGAAATTAGCCATAAAGTTCTGAACATGCCTGGATGTGATGACAACATGGCCTGCTTCAGAAATGACACTGCCTGGCATGCATTTAACACAAACAGCTCCTTTCACATTAATGTTAATACTTATTTTTAACTTGAGAAATTTTTGGATGATTTATGGGATCTGGTGGGTGGCATGAGCATTTTGATCTCCTTGCTCTCCCACATATATCTAAGCAATTCTTGATTACTCATGCAATTTATGTTTATATTGCTTAACCTTTTACCCTTTATATCTTTCTTCTACCTGTGATCACTTTACCAAGATTTGGAAGCATGCTTTTCAGGAAAAGGGCACTGACTCTTCAGCAAAGTCTGCATCTCATTTAACATCTCGTGCCAATGGTCCTTCATTTGTTCCACCAATTATCCCCATGGACAATGATGATGGTATCTCATACAAAGGTTTGTTGAAGCAATTTTTTCTTTCTGATGGTTTGCTATAATTGACTAGGAAGTCAACCTTTCACAAGAAAAAGAACCTTATGACATATAGATATTTTGGTTTCTGAGCTACTCCCTCTGTTCATTTTTAGTAGACCTAGTTTGATTTTTTGAATTTACAGACATGAATTTTAGATAAAAATTTAACATATTATATAAATAATTAATTTTTTTGGATTAAATAAAAATACTCAATAGGATCTACATATAGGGAAATTTTTTTTTTTCAATTATTGTTCATATAAGTTGCTAAATTTTCATCTAAAATTCATGTCTACAAGGTCAAAAAGTCAAACTAGGTCTACTAAAAATGAATTGACTCAACGGAGGGAGTAACGATTAATGGTACAGTCAACTATTATCATTGCATTGGCTATTATACTCTAGTTAAATTTCTGAGCTAAATGATTGATGCTATGTTTAACCAGTATTTTTGCATTAGCTATTATACTTTATTAAGTTTGATGTTCGTTTAAGCTGATTCATTTAGTCTATATGGCTCTTCTGGTAGGCTTAGGCATAAGAATAGATTTTTAGGAGGTCTAGACTAACAAGTGTTTTTGAAGGTTACAGCTGTGGAGAAAAGGTTTTAGGTCTTTAATGTTTGATGGATGATGGAATTAAGTGGGGAAATGGTGGCTAGAAATAGAAATGTCAATTGCTTGCTTTGCAACAATATCCTAAGTTACAATAGCAGTATGAGAGTGTAAAAAGGAAGAATTTAGGAGACTAAGCAGACAACAAATCTCTTGATACCCCAAGAAACTCGCTTTGAAATACATATCTACATAGATGTTTCAGGAATTCATAGAATATTAGTCAACTTGCAAGGTTGTAAATTATTAGGACCAAGAATGTTGGCCAAAAATCCAAAAAAAAGAAAAAAAAAAAAAA